TCTATTTACCTCCCGTGGGGGATCTTAAAGAGGAACTTTCATAATGGGGAAAAGCTTTCAAATCAGACATCAGACTTCCAATATAAATCCATCCACCACCTCTGACATGTTTTTCTTACAATGTTTGCTAATTACTAAAATTACTTGTATATAAATCAGGGTGTGAGCCATGTCACAGTTTATCTTCTCTTATTGGATTACACAGTGATGTCATATTCCACTATTTTTGATATCACAACCATTTCCTTGACAGCAAATATTCTGATGTCAAACAGGATGAACTTAACTGCAAATGCAAACAGCACCAGCGGCTGGGGAGAGGAGGAAGGCACTCGCCCAAATATTTTTATTAAACTGCCTGGCACGAGAGAACAGTAATGGGATTCAGAGCCCTTCACCTCTAGAAACCTGATTCTGTATCTGCTCAAGGACATGAGGGCACACAGCACCTAAGAGTATCAGAGTTGTGGCTGCTCAGTGCATTAGAGCCAAGGTGCTATCCTAGCACCTTATGCTCAATCTCAGCAAGGACCACGTGTCAATAGTCAATGGAACTCCTCATGTGAATAAAACAAGGATTTGGCCCTGAAAGCTGTGACCATCCAATTCAGGGAGATGCTGAACACCCCTTCCACCAGAGCTCTCCCATCTCCCTAGTGGTCAAATAAACTTTTCCTAACCACCCCCGTAAATTCCAAACCCCCTCTAAATTCAGTTTCTGGGGAAAAGTACTGCTGTATATAAGAACGGCCATACTGGGTCAGACCAAAGGTCCATCCAGCCCAGTGTCCCATCTGCCTACAGTGGCCAATGCCAGGTGCCCTAGAGGGAGTGAACCAAACAGGTACTGATCAAGCGAGCTCTCTCCTGCCATCCATCTCCACCCTCTGACAAACAGAAGCTAGGGACACCCACATCTGTGGACTTGTTATACTGAACAAGGGTGTCCACCCACAATATCCCCTTTCAGACTGTGACAAAACCCTTTCCCATAGGTGCAGGTGACTGCATAGCCTGTCTCGGGGGAGAGGGAAGCAGAACTTGCAGGAGGGATCTGTGGATTTCTTCATGGGACCTTTTTTTATGAAAAACAACTTGTCATTTAGTACCATCTGATCCACAACAAAGGAAATAAATGTCTTCTTTAGGCGTGCTGTTAGGAAAGTTTAGGGATAACTGCGTTGACAGAAAGGTCCAGAAAAGGGATGAACTGTCAGTCAGTCATGGGCACACTTCCACAAATCCCCACCAGGGCATCAAATGATGTCAGTTAGATGATCTTATAGTTGGGGGAGGAGGGCTCTCTGGTAGGGAGGGTCTATGTGTACATTTTCCCTCTAGCAGTGGGTGTAGTTTTGCCCTCTAATATCAAGAGACAGGGGGAAAGAACCTACTACTATAATCAGCTCTAGATCCCTTTCACCTGACAAGCCTGGTCATTTTGGAGCTGAAGGGCAGTTGTCCCACCCTGCAAGTGTATTTCAGTAATGGTGTCCAGTCCCTGCAGCACAGATAGGAATTAGGCTGAGGGGCTGTGTCCAGATTCAGGGGTTTTTTCGGGAAAAGTAGCCTTTTTCCGAAAAAAACTTCCCCTGCGTCCAGACTCAAGCCGCGTTCTTTCGAAATTAAATCGAAAGAATGCGGCTTTTCTTTCGATGGCGGTAAACCTCATTTCACGAGGAAGAACGCCTTCTTTCGAAAGTTCCTCTTTCGAAAGAAGGCGTTCTTCAATGTAAATAGGGCTTCTTCAAAAGAGAGCATCCAGACTCACTGGATGCTTTCTTTCGAAAAAGCAAGCCGCTTTTTCGAAAGTTCAACGTGCAGTCTAGACGCTCTCTTTCGAAAGAGGCTTGCAGTCTAGACATAGCCAGGCTGTACTGGCTAAGTGAACGGATGTCCACACTTCATCACCCCTACTAACTGGCAGACGGTTCAGAAAAGCCCATGGCTGAATGGGCAGGGACTGTGAAGTCCCACATGCCCCCCTTAGAAGTATTCTGTCTGGGTCGGGCTTGGGCACGGTGGAAAGCCTGTGTTACCACAACCTGCCCCAGGACAGAGAGCAGATTTAGTTCCCAGGGCTGTGGAAGCTGGTGCCTAGGTTTCATAAGCACTAAATTCACAGAAAAGAATACTAAATAATAGCAGAAGAAACTCAAGGCGCCTGTGTGAATCCTGCCCTTTGGTCGAAATGAGCTAGTTGCTGCTAGCATGGCACGTCCCTTGAGGAGCTAGCACTAGGTGCGTGGACATCCCAGCCACCGCCATGCTACCCAAACTAGGCTCGGGCTCCTCGGGACGGGCGCAGAATGGCAGCTCAGCCAGCCCGCGCACACGGAGCGTGATCACACCCCGCTCTCCCCAGGTGGGTTTTCTAGCGGAGTCCCTCCGCGCAGCTAAGCAGCCGCCAGACTTCCCCGCTCCCGGGAGCAAATGCGAGCCCCGCTCGCTGACTGGGGGGGCGGGCAGGCGGGCCCCCTTCTCCGGCAGGCAGAGACCTGGAGCAGCAAGGGCTGGTGGCCGGGCGCGGGGGAAGCCAGGGGAGGTTCCCCCCGGCCAATGGGCTTCCCTGGCTGAGCTCCCTCGCCCCCGGCTTAGGCGGGGAAGCGCCGTTCACACTCGCTATGGAGCTGCTTGGCCGCCTTGCTCGCTGCTCCACTGGCCCCAGCAGATGGATCCCGAGCGGGGGCGAGGCTGCCTGGGCACGCCGGAGAGGCAGCAGCCTCCGGCCTGCGGGGGGAGGGAGGGTTAGCGCCAGGAGGACCAGGAAGCCCAGCCTCGCTAGAGGAATGAGGCGGGGTGTGTGCTCAAATGCGGATCCCGGCCCCGGCGGGCTGCCGGCCAAGCGGAGGGCAGCCGGGGATCTGATGCAATGTGTCTGGGAGCCATCGCGGGGGGATGCTGAGAGACAGACAGACAGACACACACACACACACACCCCCTCCGCACACAGAGCGCCTTGGACAGACACATACATACACACCTACCCAACACGCACACACAGCGCC